TTTCCATACGTGTTTATCTTTATGCCTACAGGCAACTTTGGGAACTCGCTCCATGGGTGAAATTATAACCACAAATCCCGGATGCGAGAGGCGAGGAGACTCACGGTAAATAAGCACCCCGAGAATGAGGGGCAAAAGGACTCACTGTAATCAAGCGCCCTGAACATGAGAGGCAAGGGAACTCATGGAAACAAGCACCGAAAAGTAAACAGCCCTTATTATGTCCACGTCGTTGTTTCTACGTAACGCTTAAAGAAAGGTTAGAGACATCATTATGGTTGTTTTTTGTTGATAAAATAGTACTGTGATATTCAGCTAATGTTATACATTGACCCCAAGATAATACTAATAACCAAAGTCTAATGAGTTATTGGCAATGTTTACGATGTTTTCGAAGTTTACCTGAAAAATTTTTCTTAATCTACTTTACCTATAGAGATTTTTGAATGCATATATTATAGGGATGGTCATCGCCACGAGTACTCTCGTTTAGGATTAGGTACATCGTTGCGTTCAATCTTGCAAGATCTTGCGACTGCGTGCCTGCAAGCAGCGGCTAACCAACGATCATAAAAGTAAGTTAATTTAAAGAAACTATAAGTAGTATAAACAGTGTAAATGTAAATCAACACTTTGTTGTTTATACTATTTGTTAAATTAACTGTTTCTGGATTTTCTAAATTTATTAAATCATCAGATGAGATGTAACTTGATTGTTAATTTAATTCAGTTTCTTAATTCAGAAACAATCCAATTACTAAATAATATGAAACACTTCAATATCCAATATTCTAATTGATTGACACATGGTTCTTACCTTGATAAATGAATTGAATATCGAAAAAAAATTAAATAGACAACCTATGACAAAGACCTTTACAAGGTCGTGAGATAAAAAGACAACGACAAAAGATACGCTATTACCGTATGACATAAGACATAAACTCAAATAGTAGGTCAACGCCAGCTCGGCGTACACCACTCCATATATATTGCTCGGTGAAACCTAACACCACAACGCCGAGTCAACGAGTTAAAAGAAAAGTATACTGTAAGAAAAATTAAATAAGGCGTTTGGGTCGACTGCTGGTTCCTGACGAATAAAATTTAAATTTATTTGTTTGTAGAACCAATCTACGAGTTTCGCCCTTAACATATAGAAGTTCAGACGTAGCAAATTGGCATCCCTTGGGAAACTAAGACCCTCCGTAAAATCTCGTACTTTTTGATCTAGATGCTTCAGAAAATTTTAGTGATGATGTTCCCAACGTAATGAGAGAGGACAGAATTCAATATATTACAGAAGAAGTTTGCAGGTATCATCATGATAAGACAAGCTATAATCAACTTGGCCGAATTGTAAAAAAGTATTTAGATCTATCTTATATCAAAGGTAATTCTGCTGCACGTACATCGTATGTACAATATAATACACCAACAACTGACGATAAACCTGTTTTTACTAAACTATATAGATATCCTCCTACTCTACACAAAGAAGTTAGCGATCAAATCGATAATTTATTACACGAAGGAACCATTAGCTACTCTTTCGGCCCATACAATTCGCTTTGTGCAGTATTCTGAAACAGCGCCACCTGCATGGCAAGAAGGAGGCGCTGCTGAATAACACGATTACATAGCCTGTTATGGGCTGCAAACTTTGTTAATTGTTTTTTGTAGTTTTAATGCATTTTTGATACTTAAAGTATAAATTTTCAGTGTTAAGAATTTGTGGTAAACAGGAAACAATTTTCTGTTACATTACTTATTTATTTATTTTTTTAACTGTAAAAGAATAGTTGTTATCTGTTTGAAGCTCATTAATCGAGGCGCTAGAGCAGCCAAGTAGAGGTTGCTTCCAACAACATTCTTGAAAACCAACAGTCTGGTTCCAAGTTATATCTAGAAATGGTTGACCGTGAAGCATTCGTGCGAGGCCTACCTGATGGATTCAAGGCCAACATGATGTCAAACATACCAAAAACGTTTGCTGGTGCTTTACCAGTAGTTTTAGAAGTAAAAGAAATTAGAAAAACATTATAGCCTAATACTCGCGTTACCATGTACCATCAAAATTCACATATGTACCTTGCTCAGCAGTTACACCCTACAGGAAGACAAAATCTATCAGTCCACCACAAGGGCAGAACATTTTTCACATTTTTAACCTTATTAAGCTAACACATAATGTGTTGAATTTAATGATCCCAACACATACAACTGCAATAATGAACCTCAATATTACAATCCTAATGGCACAAAAATTTTTCCTACTACGTTTGATTCAGACGATAGAATAGTATCACACCCAGCTCTTAAATATCGAAATAACGACTCAAATGATCAATTTGTTAAATTATTGCAAAATTGAATAAAATGAAATTTAACCAGCCTTTGAACGACTCGTGGAAAAATCATCGAAATTTCGGACCCACAATACCAACAAGACGCCAAAACTAATTATAATTGTCTATTTGAATTACCCCTTTCACACATGCTGACTGCTTGGTAATGTTTACGATGTTTTCGAAGTTTACCTGAAAAATTTTTCTCAATCTACTTTACCAATAAAGATTTTTGAATGCATCGATTATAGGGATGCTCATCGCCACGAGTACTCTCGTGTAGGATTAGGTACATCTTTGCGTTTAATCTTGCAAGATCTTGCGACTGCGTGCCCGTAAGCAGTGGCTAACCAACGATCATAGAAGTAAGTTAATTTAAAGAAACTATAAATAGTATAAACAGCGTAAACGTAAATCTACACTTTGTTGTTTATACTATTTGTAAAATTAACTGTTTCTGGCTTTTCTAAATTTATTAAATTATCAGATAAGACATAACTTAGTTGTTGATTACATGGAGCTCCTTAATTTAAAAACATTCCAATTACTAAATGATATGAAACACTTCAAGATCTAATATTCTTATTCATTGTCACATGATTCTTACCTTTATTAATAAATTGAATATCGAGACAAAGTTAAATAGAAAACTTATGACAAAGACCTTAACAAGGATGTGAGATGAAAAGGCGAATGAGATACGCTACTACCGTATGGCATAAGACATAAACTCCAACCGTAGGTCACTGCCAGCTCGGCGTACACCACTCCATATATATTTCTCGGTGAAACCTAACACCACAACGCCGAGTCAACGAGTTAAAAGAAAAGTATACTGTTAATAAAAGCTAATAAGGCTTTCGGGCCGTTGGCTGGTTCCTGAAGAACAAAAATTAAATTTATTTATTTGTAGAACTAATCTACGAGTTGTGCCCTTTATTTGTAGAAGTTCGGAGGTAACACGCGTTAAATTTAATCCTTTTTTAGAATCTGGGGTCAAAAGTAGGCGTTTGTATTCAAAAATTAAACTTGACCTTAAAATGACCATTATAGTAATGTTTAAGGTCCAATCAAAGGTTACCATCAAACACCTCCTACCAAACTCAATATCTTTAATCAAACTTTTTTCCTGTTTGAAGCTTTCCTAGTGCGATATTTAGGTGTTGACATTCAAATGGCCCACCCTTTGTATGTGTGTGTGTGTGTGTGTCTATAGATTTTGCCATTCTTAAATAACATAAACTATTCCGAACTGTTCTTTTTTTTTGTCTTGGTCGTCGATATACTTTTATAAAAACATGAAATATTTTGCTTTTACAAGGTACGTGATAATAATTTGAAGAAAAAAAAAAAATTCTGGCCAAAATGGTACAATACGTCACTAGGGCACAATGTACAAACATGAGCGCCCGAAGGGCACGATTGTTATGTGTTGGTGCCCGAGTTGCGTATAATGTTTTTCTTACCGAGGGCGCAAAATGCAATTTAGCACTTGTGGGCACACTTTGCGCCTGGTAAATCACTTTAGGCCCTAAGACAGAAAAGGGCTTTAGGCCCGAAGGGCGCAAAAAACTTTTTTGCCCGTGAGCCCGAAATTATTTTAAGGGTTCAAAGTATGACCCAAGGGCTTAAAGCGGCAGTTGCATTTTGGGTATATGGTAAAAAAATTATTTTTGGGACGTTTTAGCTGCATTTATGTATCTTCTAAATTTAATAAAAGTTTACCATTAATTTTTCTCTTATTTTCATGAGGCTGGCATTATACTATCTAGTGAAAGGGGTGATCAAAATAAATATTTAGAAAAAATATAAAATATTTTTGTTTAATCATTCTTTCTAGTTTTTTTTAATGATAATCGATTACCTCAAATTTCTTGATACAGAAGGGGGGGGGGTTACAGCTAGCACTGTAATTTTAGTACCAATGTCTGTTTCATGGGAAATTTAAAATTATCAAGAAAATTAAAGTTCTTTCGAAGCTTCTTTATTGGAGAAATGACTATAACTTTAATTTCGACTGAATACAGAATAATTCAAAATATAATCTATTGCATAATTTTTTTATATAACTAGTTTTATTTTACCAATGATTTTGCAAATAAACAAATCCAACCACATTGCATCGAACCTACATATTATTTATACATGTTGTTATAATAAGTAAGAATTGCTATCAAAGTTGATTGAAGTAAGTGTGATAAACTACTACTAAGGTCCACTAATGTATTTTATTCCATAATACTGATTTAAATTAATAAACTTAATCGCTACTTTTAAGTATTAAGATCGATTGATGTGATGTATTCCAAAATGTTGACTTGAAAAATGTCATTGGTGCCACTTTTAATATTCAAATTAATGTATCTATGAACTACACTAGCATTACTACGAAAAAGAAAGATGTCTCTACAATACATGTAATAATTTTGAAATATCTCTAAAGTATAAAATAATAGTTAATCAAAAGTTTTAAGGTTAGAAAACTTTAAAATTACATAGAAATAAATCGTATAAATAGCAAAGTTTGTTGTTACTTCATTGGCTAGATGTCGACGTTGTATTATGTTGATACCATCAACTCAATATTATTATATAACTTAGATTATTAATAACGATATCTGTATTTTGATTTACTTGATTTCTGGATTTCAGGTGACAAGATTTAGCCCTGAAATTTCCCGATACTTTATGTTAAGTCATAGAAAAGAATCTCCTAGCATAACAAGATTCACACATTTAGAGGAAGCATCAAAAAGATTTAATACAGATGGAATTAGTAATCTTCAGTATAGAATTATCAGTCACCAACTACAACCATTATACTCTTGGATATTAGTCAAGATTTGAAGAAATTGTTCATAACAACTGCTTATTTGTAGTAAAATTTCCACTTCTTGTAGGTGCTTAAAACTTGAAAATATTGAGTTAAATACACAGCTTACTCGTTTTGGGGCACTTTTTATTATTTTTGTTGAAACACTTTCCCACCGCAGCTGACAGATGTAATTCTTAAAGAATTTAGTTTGTATTCACCAATATTTTTGTGAAGTCTCGAGAAACTTATAATATTGTTACGTGGGATTTTCAGTGCAGGAATAAATAGAAGCGTGACTTGGTGTTACTTATGCTTTATTAGAATTCCTTATATTTGAGGGAAGTTGTGCGTGTCTTCTCGTCTCGCGGACTTCGTCCTTATCCTCTAGCGTCTCTAGTTGATCTTTCCATCCCTTCTCTCTCCCTTTACTATCACCTCTCTTCTCTATTCCCCTACCTTTCAGGCCCAAGCCAGCAGAGGCGCACGTACGCATAGCTACATGCTATCGCACGTAACAATATAAACCAAAAGAATTAATTTTAAGTTCTTCAGTTGTTCAGATTATATCCAATTAAAAGAATTCTCTAAGTGTTCGTAAATAATTTTTAATTTAAAAAACCGATGAAAAAAAATAGGTTAGCCTGCATACGGAAGACAAGAATACAGAATGAATAGAATACCAACATATCGAAAATTTTCTTCTTCTTTTTTTAATTCTTAATTCAGCAAGGATTAAAAAAGAAATCTGAGTTAAAGAAAGGCTGCTACATTAGTAATAGGTAAATATTAAATTTGGAATTTGATATCGATAAAATGAGAATTCCTTCGACATATTTTTAAAATAGAATTGAAACTATTGAATGACATTATTTAAACTTAACTTATGAAGGACTTTAATTTACAAAACCTTAACTTTCACCCTTCAGATTTTATTTATACACTATTTTTTTAATCAGTACAAAAACACTTATGTACTGACTACCTACTATACACGCTAACTCTAAATGTACAAAGTCACAAACGTTTTTTACAGGATTTTCATTTCATTTTAATTTTCTCAGCAACTTGTTTTCTAAATTTTTTTACTTTCATTCATTAATCATTAATTAACTTTATATAAGCCTTAAGTTACATTAAAGTTGAACTTAACCCTACATACATTTAAATGAACGTATTTTTGTCTTATCTAATACAAATCAACTTTGTCTTTTGGACATTTTATTTCTTAACTTTCAAGTATCTCAATTTATTTACTATTCATATTTTAAAAATTTCTAAATGTCCTGCTTATGTCTACTAAATTGATACTTTTTTTGTACTTATTTTATTTTGTTTTTTATTTTTTTATTTTTTTACCGGGTTACTGCGACAGCCTACTGGCCTAGTCGCTGGGGCCACTCTCTCACCACCTAAGTGTGGGGGCGTATTGCCGCACCTGTTTTCCAACCCTTTTACTGATGTTATACCTAATCCATGGGCACAGTGTGAGTATCTCCGATGAAACTCCTTGCCAGTTCAGGTAGCACTCTCTACACCAATGGTGCATCGGGTCTACTCGCCCATGTGTAGCCATTCCTCCCAAAGGACTCCATATTTCTAGACGTCCACCCCTCACCGGTTAAGCTGGCGCTCTCTGCCGAAGCATCGGATCGAGGCTAATTATCATCCCCGGAAAAGCCCCATGTTACAGGGATCACTCCTCGCCGGCAAGGCCGGCAATCCCTGCCTGTCGCATTGGATCCGCTGATTCCTACCTCTTAACACTGTTTCACATTCACCCAGGCCCGAAGATCTGTGGGGCAAGGAAAAAACCCGCCCCGACAAAGTCGGGGTTACATAGGAACTTTTCCCGATGAAAACAGTTTTGGAAAAAATCTGAATTCACCGAGAATCGAACCCACGACGCCTAGAATAGCGTTGTATCAGTAACAAGCACGCTTACCACTGTAGTTACCGCTTACCGCAAGTCTCTTTAAATTAAAACTAATAAACATTTAATCTCGGAAAATTACCTCCACTGCTGTCTTGAATTCCTTTTTGGTTACTTGTTCTCTGAAAAATCTTGTAACAATCAACGCAAGTAAAAACATTATGAATTTACATGAAAGTCATATTGTTATTACTATTAACCCTTAGATACTCATATAATGCTCAAAGGTCCCAAAGAATGACCTGTGTAAATTGTAATTAAATTACAAGTCTACATTTCTACATTAATGCAATTTGCTGAGAAGTTTCTTCACGCAGAAAAAAATTATAGGAATTGTTATCGTAAAAGCAATGATACATCTGTCATATTTTATTATTACGTAAAACTCTTATCTTAGTGTATATTAACTGAAATTCATTCTTAAGATGGAGAGGACACAAAAACTATGGTTTTTTTTTTTAATTTCATTGAATATTTAAAATTTTTTTTTCCAATTGATCAATTTTTTAAACAAGTCGGTGATAAGTGCGAAAATAAAGATGGTAGAAGTGAGTTAATTGTATTTCTATATCTATATACATTCCACCATGGCTAATAAATAAGAAGCTAATTTTACTAAAGACGACTCAAGGAATCTTCCAGTAGTTCATAAGGAGATGATTTTTGACTTAATTAAAAATGGTGATTGTTTTAATGCACCAGAAACACAAGGACTGGAAAATTCTGTCGGTAAATCTGTTAGATTTTATTGTGTTTACTTTTATAGAGCGTCAGTTATTCCCTCACACACAGATCTTTAAGAGAAATTTATAGGAAACATGTTTTTTTTTGTTTTTTTTTTGTTTGATGGAGTGGGGAAGGGAAAATCTTCATGGACACCCCAGCTAATCCGGTGGTAGTGTCGGCTTCACCCGGTGTGCCTACCGACTAAAAACTAACCTCCCCGCATGGGACAGGTCCGTGAGGACCACTTCCCTAGAAGACAAAAGGGCATAAGAGGAGAAAGAAGAAGGAAAATAACGGAGAATTTCGGAGGCCGACTCGCTCTCGAAGTGATGAGAGGAGGGGGCACTTACGCATCTGGGCGAAGCTCGAATCTTGGCTTGCGCCGGAATAGAGTTAAAGAAACTTAGATTTTGTGTTATTGTATGTGTGTGTGTAGATGTGTGAGTCCGCTGGGTATTGTGTATTTGGAAGCGTACTTGTGATTAGTGTTAGTGTTGTATAGGGTTGAGGCCGTAGAGGATATGGCGGATAGAAGGGTGCTCCTGAAGGGAGCGTACGAATTGAAGTCGCGTTCGTTTTGTCAAGATCATGGAGATGATGCATCCGATGGAAGCAGGGAGGATTAAAGACCTAGAGTATATTAAGGATCCTCGGGGTTCTGTGCTAGAGGGCATGGACGTCGTATAAGGTCGAAGCGTCTGGGTTGGAGGTTCGCGAGTGCGGTGATGGTGGGGTTTGGGTGTTCCGTAATGGAGGCGCGGATTTTAGACGCAAGGACGGGGGCTGCTTGTATTGGAGGGACGATGTTGAACTCCTTGATAATCTGTGTATTCCTGATGTACCACGGAATACCCAGGACCGACCTCAGTATCTTCATGAAAGAGCCCTGGATGCCCTGAAGTCGGTTTCCCTTTGGAGCGCCCCACGTCGGTATCGCGTAGGTGCTAATGCTCTTGATGATGGCGTTGAAGGTGCGCAGCTTGGTCTTCTGGGAGACTGCTTTGTTGTTGAAGAAGGGCCTTAGTTGTATGGAGGCTCCGTATGCCTCACCACGGGTGCTGTTAATGTGCCGAACGTACGTGAGTCGACGGTCTAGCGTTACGCCGAGGTACTTGGTGGAGTAGCTCCAGTCAATTTCTACTCCGTTGACCTTTATCTTCTGCAGTTTCTTCCTTGGATTTTTCCAGGAGACGAGCATGGCTATAGTCTTTGCCTCATTTACGACCAGTTTCCAAAGACTATACCAGTTATGGAGAGTGACGATGTGCTTATTTAGAAAGGTGGTGCAGCGAGAGTGTTGTTTTGACGTGCAGCTGACCGCGACGTCATCTGCTTAGACGTACGTGTTGATGTTTTCGCGCTGGGGCGGGTCGTGGCAAAAAATGTTGAAAAGGGTGGGTGAGAGTTTGGAGCCTTGGGGGACTCCGGAGGTTATTGGGTTATTGGTTAGAAAGAAAGTCGCCTACTTTAACGCGGATAAGTCTGTCCGATAGGTAGGATTTGATGGTGCCGATGAGGTAATGCGGAAAACCTAACTGAATAAGCTTGTATAGGAGGCCTTCGTGCCAAACTCTGTCGAAGGCCTGCTGTGCATCTAGGAAAGCTATCGCGGTGAAGTTTTTGTGGATGAGGCTATCAGAGAGGTCTTCGGTGACTCTCAGAAGCTAGTGTACGGCCGAATGTCTGGCTCTGAAATTGTACTGCACGTCTGGAAGGATGTTATTTTCCGTGGCGTGCTTGTTTAGGCGGGTAAGAATGACGCTTTCAGTGATTTTATTGGGCGATGAGAGTAGGCTAATGGGTCTGTGGCGCGCAGAGTTGCTGAGGGGTTTTCCGGGCTTCGGGAGACAGATGACCATAGCCACCTTCCACGCAATTGGGAAATAACGAAGGCGCATCACGGCGTTGGTGATATTGCAAATCGCCGTGATAAATTTTTGAGGGAGGATTTTCAGGACGCTATTGGAGATACCGTCACTGCCAGGGGTTTTTCGAGTTTTTAGGGAGCGTATGATGCCTCTGATTTCGAAGGGTGTGCAGTGTTCGAAATCTGGATTGTCAAGGACCTGTTGCTGCACTGTGTGATTCCTGCGCTAGTTCTTATGCGCTAAGATTGGGGGAGCATTGATTTTGCAGCGAATTTGCAAAGATCTCTGCTTTGTCTGAATCTAGCGAGTAGAGTTTGTTCCCTTGTTGAAGAGGAGGGAGAGAAGGCCGTTTGTTACGGAGTTTTTTAACGATCTTCCAAGCATTTCTTGGGTGCGACTCTGCCTCGGCTATGAATTTATTAAATTCCTTGTTTCGGAATTCGAAAACTTGGGATTTGACTTCCCTTTCAAGGGAGTTGAGGTGAACTTTAAGTTCGGGGGTTCTCCTTTTTTTCCAGAATTTCTGGACTTTTTTCTTCTCCTTGATGAGACGCAGGAGGTCACGGTGGAGTTTAAGTGTGTGTTGGGGAGCTAGGGTTGTT